ATTTGAATATAATACATCCACCACTGCTTAGTGACGAGCAATATCGGGCAACTGTTTTTGTAATAAGAGAACATAATACTACAGAGAATTCTTCAGCTTATCAAGAATTGTACTTCAGAACGCCATCCACAGGTAGTATTAATATTGTATTTTTTATTTATTCCTATATTCTATTTTTAAAAACTTTGTATTTAAATAAAATAACTTAACAGCTCCTCCTACAATAGCAAATCTGGAAGTTATTGAGATTGATACCAATCAAGATATATTACACTTGCGATGGTTAATTCCACTCACATCTTCAAAAACACACTTTCACTATTATAACGTTGTCACTTATTGCAATCATGTCAAGTCTATTAAAGTGACAATTAATAAATTCTGCAATTTGTGGGATGATTATGTTTGCGTGAATCTTTACAAAAGATGTTTCAACATTCAGGTAAGAATAGAAACAAACCAAGTAATTGTGTTGCACTCTAAAAAGACTATATATATAATTATCAAGACATTATATATAATTATAAAAAACGTATGTTCGAATAATACACAAATTGAAATAATATATTACAGATTTTTGAGATACATAAAAATGGCACAGCTTTAAGCCAACCGTCTAGTGTTTCTCAAGAAATGTTTGCTACTACCAGTAAGTGAAATAAAATACAACCTTTAAACTAAGTTACAACCTTTTAAAACCTTAACAAAAAACAGTTTTTTAGTTTTACTTTACTTGTAAACTGTATTTCACTTTGAGATACTAAACACAAGGTCTATACATATATTACACAATTTTTCTTTTCAAACTTCTATATTTCACATTCTTGTAATACTTCTTTCATTGTCGTACGCACACGTAGTGCAACACCATTGACAAGAAACATTTTTTTGCAATCGATATTTAATTTTGCGATATTTAATTTAATGTTAAGATACCAAATAAGATAAAAAATAAACAAATATCCTGAAGTTTAAGTTTATAGAATTGAGGAACTTCGTGATGACGATTATATTCAAAATGTCTTGCAGAGCCAGAGAAACCTGCATCTGTTAGTTACACATTACACGATAACAGTATAATCACTTTACTATGGTATCATCCTTGGAAGACAAATCGTCAACTAAAATGTTTTCTCATCGACATAGAAGAAAATACTTCATATCTGAAACAGCGCATTTCTCAATCAACTGCAAAAAAGAAATATGAATATTCAGTAGAAGAATATATGCGTAATTATACCAAGCTGTTACATTTATACCCATCAACATTGTATCGTATCTATATTCGATCTATGACTATCACAAACGAGACCAGTTTGTACAATTATGTAAATGTACAGACACCGTCAACCGCAACGTTTGATGGCGATTTACACGACGTACCGGATGAATTTAATTCTACTATCTCGTTACAAGTGCCGCATATTCTTAATGATACGTATGATAGTTGTATACACATCATTGTGAAAGGACCTACTCGGTGTAAGAATTCAAAAATACCTGACAATTTACTAAACCTGGCGAATGTGAAAAAGAATGATGTCGCTTGGCAAGCTGCTGAAGTCTCGGTATGTGTATTATTTTAATACTATCTTAAAGACAGTTTTATATACATTAGAACGTGTTAAGTAAATGAATAAACAAAATAAAATATTTATTTATTTATTTACAACTGATGATATTACATATATAAGACTTAAGTAAATATATACATATAACTTTACAGCACTTAGCACATACACATTTACCTATACATATATATTTCTTTACTGTTTCTGTGTCATTACTATAGACAGATGAGATTGCTCGCAACAAGTATAC